CAACAGAAGGATAGGGAGGATTTATTAAAGGGGGTGGAGTATTATTTTAAGGAAAATAGGCAATCTGCAGATGAAGATATAATATGGGATGCTGCAAAGGCAGTTATTAGGGAAATATGTATTACGAAAGAAATTCAGTTTAAGAAGGAACTAAATATTAGTAGAGAGCAAAAGGTTACAAAAGAAATATGAAAGACAAATTCAGGTACAGTTAAATAAGTTGAAAAAGGAACTACAGGAAATGGACCTTACCTTTATGTGGAAAATTGGTGAAAAATGAGTATCAAAGAAGTAATATAAATACAATGAAGAGGTTGGCAAATTATTTGAAGAAAAGAAGGAAAAGGCAAAGGATAGGATGTATGAAAAATGAAAAGGGAAATAAGGTTTCTAAAAATAATCAGATAAGAGAGATTTTTGCTAAATATTACCAAAGGTTATTTAAAGCAAAGGAAAGTAAACAATTTGATAAAGTTATAAGGAATAAAGTTAAAGAAGAGGAGTTGATAGAATTAAATGACAATATCACACAACAAAAAATCTTAAATGTCATAAATAACTTTAAAAATGGGAAATCACCAGGTTTAGACGGATTTACAGCAGAATTCTAGAAATTGGTGGGAAATTTGATAGTTCCGGAATTACAAAGATTATTTAATAAAATTTTGAATAACTCTTGGAGGACGTCAGAAATTATTACAATTGCAAAACAATACAGAGATCCAGAGGATCCTAATTCTTATAGACTGATAAGCTTGGCAAATCAGGATTATAAATTTTTTGCAAAGTTCTTAGCAAATAGATTGGAGAAGTTATTACCAAGTCTAGTAGGAGAAGATCAATATGGTTTTGTGAAAGGAAGGTATATAGGTGACCCTATAAGGAATGTGATCAATGCTTTATATCATGGAAATAATAAGAAAATTGCTCTTTTGAAATTGGACATATATAATGCATTTGATACATAAAACCACGAATACTTGTTCCAAGTATTACATACATTTGGTTTTAAAGGACCTTTTGCGAATGCAATAAAAGAAATTTATAGAGAAGCGAGAGCAGTGATTAAAATAAATGATGGACATACTGGGCAAGTATTGATTCAGAGAGGAGTTAAGCAAGGGTGTCCTTTATCCCAGATGTTATTTGTCATAGCTATGGAACCTTTGGCAGATAGAATTAGAAATAGTATCAGAATATATGGGTATAAGGTAGGAAAGGAGGAAATTAAAATGAATTTATTCACGGACGATATTTTATTGGTCTTAGGGAATCATTTAGAAGCGATGAAAGAATTAGTAATAATTTTAGAAGACTTTAAAGCATGTTCAGGTTTAGGAGTAAATATTAAGAAGTCAGAAATAATGTTTAGCAAGATAGATTTAAAGGAACAAAAAGAAATAGCAAGGTTAACAGGTATAAAACTAGGAAATAAGATATTGAAATATTTGGGAGTAATAACAAGAAATGTCAATAATTTTATGGGGATAAATTATAAAATAATATGGAAGAAGATACAAAAAATTAGAGAAGATTAGGGCACTTAAAATGTTTATAATATCTAAATTGATATATTTGTTTCAGGTACTTCCAGAATGGGTATTTAAGAAACAGTTAGCAATGTGGGATAAGGTATTAAAAATTGGGTTTTTGGAAAGAAACAAGCTAGAATACCAAGGAAAGTGATATATTCGTCAAAGGAACATTTAGGTTGGGGTATGTCACAATTGCCACATGACGGAAGACAGGAGGGCCTGGTATGCGGTCCATGGGGTTGTGAAGAGTTGGACTCGACTGTGCGACTAAACATCAACTAAATGTCACAATTGGAAGGATACTATGAAGCCTTTCAAATTAGAATGTTGTTGGAATTGGATGGTAAAAGTAAGGGTGAATTGGTCCGATGGGAAGATTGTATAAATGGAGGAGCAGGCAGATTTGGAATCTTTACACAAAGATTAAAAAAAGAGATCGAGAATACAATAGGCCCAAGATGGACAGCATTAAAAATATGGGGGGGGGGACAGGTTAAGTGGATGCCTCCACTTTCAAAGTGGGCCCCACTTGAATGACTAAATGAGGAATTTAAAAATTTTGAGGTAACTTTTTGGAAGGAGCTAAAGGGAAAAGACCTATGGAAAGTAAAAGATATGTATAATGCTCAAGGGAGTTTAATTCCAATGCAAGAAGTAATGGGAAGAGTGGGAGGACAATTTTGGTTAAGGCTTATTAGTTTATATAATATTTTGAAACAAAAGAAGTACTCTGGAATATTAAATGAAGAGGACACCCCAATGGAAGAACTGTATGGAATTAAAGAAGATAATAAAAAAGGGCATTGTAAGAAAGATATATAGCATATTGATTGAAGACAAAAATTATATGATTGGTATAATTCAGTCAAAATGGGCGAAAGCAGGGGTCTTTTCGGGCCTGAGCCCTCCGGAGCACTGCTCTGGCAGCCTGCGTGGCGGAAAGCCCTGCCCTCGGGTCCCCCGAGCCCCGCCCTGGGTGTCTCGAGCCCGCGCAGGAGCGCTGCGGCTCAGGGAGGCCCAGAGAGCCCTGCCCCCGGGTCCCCCAAGCAGGAGCACTGCGGCTCAGGAGAGGCTGGGAGAGCCCCACCCGAGTCTCCCAGCCTGCGCGGGAGCGCTCCCCGTCGCTGCGTCTCCTGAGCATGCGCGGGAGCACTGTAACTTGGGGGACGGGAGAGCCCCATCGCCGCGTCCCCGGCCCATGCAGGAGCGCTGCTGCTCGGGGACGCCTGGAGAGCCCTACCGCTGGCTTCCCCGACCCCCGAAGCAGTGAGTAAGCGATCCACGGGGAGAAGGGGCTTGATGGGGTGGTGGTGGGAGAGCCTCCCTTCCTCCCTCCATCTCTTTGCCATCTTTCCCTCCTTTCTTTTTCTTTCTCTCCTTTTCTTTCTTCTCTTTTCCTTCTCTTCCTTCCTCTCTTTTCCTCCTTTCCTTCTTCCCTTTCCCTCTTTCCTTCCTTCTTCCCTTCTTTTTCTTTCCCTCCTTCCTTCCTTCTTTCCTTCTCTCTACTCTCTCTCTTTCCTTCTGTCTTTCCTCCTGTGGCCCCACTCTAGTGAGAAGGGGTTTAAAATTTAAACCCCTTCTCTCTTCGCTCCCCCCCCAGGGAAGGGGAGGGGAGGCTTTTGAAGATTCCTCCCCCCCTTTTGCTTCCCCTTCTGCCATCACTTTGGGTGATGTCAGGGGGTGTGGCATATGCTAATAGCCCAGTAGCTCATTAGCATGCCATATGATAATGAGCTCATGCAGCTCTTTTTCTACGAAAAGGCCCCTGGGAGAAAGATATAACGTTATCAGAAAATGAGATAAATAAAACAATGAGAGGTATTAGTGATATAATAATGGAGAAATTTAGAGAAATGAAGATGAAATTAATATTGAAATGGTATAGAATGCCAGCTCAACTATATTACATGATTAAGGGAAGACATCCGATCGTTGGCATTGTAAAAAGGAAAAGGGATATTATGTACATCTTTGGTGGGAGTGTTCTGAGGTAGTTAAATTCTGGCAAAAGATCCTGGAAAAGGTGCAGGAAGTATGTAAGGTTAAAGTGGAGTTATCAGGAAAAATATTATTCATGGGAATTTTAGGGAACTATAAAATAGATAAATCATATCAGGATCTATTTAAAGCTATGATTTTAGCTGCCCATGTGGTTATAGCTCTTGGCTGGAAAGATGCTACGAAATGGACTATAGACAGATGTAATGGTTATTTATATGAATAGGTACAGTTGGACATATGAACGATATTAAAACAGGAAAAGCTAGGTGAGGATAAGAGTGTGGAAATCAAGAAGAGGTGGTTTGAGTATATAAAAGGGATAAAAGCGGGCGGGGGGCACAATAATGATATATTGGTTAAACTCCAAAGGGTGTGCTTATAGTTACAGATATAAAGTAAGGAATTCTTGTTGGTCGTTTTGAGGGGGGGGAGGGGAAAAATGGAATGGGGAAAGAAACATTCAATGTATTGAGGTATGTAATATATGCTATGTTATGTATTGTTTGAGTTATATGGAAGCAAGATTAAATACTGCAATTAAAAAAAGGGAAAGGAAGCTGCTCTGATACTCTGAGTGAGGGGCGGGGTATAAATCCAATCTCTTCTTCATTTTCAAAAGCATGTATTTTTAATATTTGTAATGAATCCTATTAATTTCATTGCTTTCCCCAGAATAGGTAGAGGAGGTAATGGGAGGAGAATCTCTTTTCTCCCCATCTCTCCATTATCCCTGTCTGCTTTCTGGCACTCAGAAATGTAGTCCAGGTTGTCTGAGTTGGGGGGAGGGGGATGACTACCCTCAGAGCAGAAGTGGTTTTTTTCTGAGGGCACATTCGGATCCAGCCATTAATACATTAATGTTGGGTAATTTGTAATGAATTGTCTCTAGCACTTGACAAAAGCCACAAAGTGGTATGTTACTAATACCATCTGAAGAAAATTGATAATTAAGATATTTCTCTCAAGTGAAATGTCCAGAACTGCATTCAGTAATTGTGCTGTTAGTGTGGCCTTATTTTTTTCTTCTTTGTGTTTCAGAGATTGCTATTCTTTGGGCTGGCTATATTAATACCAAGAATAGTCCTGTGCAGATGTTATTTGTTAACTTCCCAGTCTATCTGCATATTGCATTCCTCACGATTTAAATGATGGTCTGAATTTTGTTTAAAATCAGTTGGTAAAACTATACAAGTTATAAATGAAGCTAAAATTAATTTGCCAGAGGTAAATTCTCATTTTTTCATTTCTTTGTAATCCCCACTCCTGTTAATAGATAAACAATATTGTCAGCCTTGACAGCAAAAACCATATATTTGGCAGACAGATTTCTGCAGATCTGCACACATAACAGGATGCAAGAACCCCACTGCTGGATGTGCCTGTAAGCATTTTGTTCAAATATATAGGGGGAAATATACTAAGAAAATATACTAATAAAGTAATTAATATCATATATTTTTCCAGGTATCACGATCAACAGGATGTTACTAGCAACTTCCTTGGAGCAATGTGGTTGATTTCAATAACTTTTCTTTCAATTGGATATGGTGATATGGTACCTAATACGTACTGTGGGAAGGGAGTCTGCTTGCTTACTGGAATAATGGTGAGTGACCCTGGTTTTTAATTTAATTGAATTAATAGTTTTAATTGCCACATTTCCTGTGAGTTTATTTAAGTCATTTTCAGAATGGTTTGTGAATGATTCTTGTGTTATTAATATAAAAGTGTTCATGAAATTTTCTATGAGTTGTATGTTGCATGGGCGGAAACTCTAACAGGGCAATATTAAGCAGAGTTATACCTTTTTAAGTCCATTGACGTTAATTTGGCTTAGAAGGGTGTAACTGTTTAGGATTGCACTGTAAGCTTCCTAGCATGTAACTATATAGATTTACTTCTGAAGGAAACTGGAGTGCTGTTACTAAATCCAGACAAACTCAGTTAAACTGGCTGCACTCTTAGCACTGAATAACTGCCTTTCATATCGCATACTGGAGTACTGTGTCTCCTGAGGTAGTAGTGGTGGTTGTTATTTTGTTTGGGTAAAAAAATATTTATTTATTTGTTCAATTTATTTGTTCAATCTGGCCCTCCCCGCCAGAGTAGGCTATTGAAAAATGCTATTGAAACATCATGCCTCTAGTTCCTAGATTTGTTTCTCCAAGACTTGGTCATCTTATATTTATAAAACTGCTATAGTGGCTTCTCTCTTCATTTTGCCCGGTTAATGAACTAATTTTATTACTTACTTAGTATGTGGAGCAACAGACAGTAACTTCATGTAAGTCTATAGTATGGTTATTGTTGTATAGTTAAAATAAGATACCGATAATAACGCTTAGCATTTGTATAGCACATTCAAGTGGTCAAAGTGCCTCACATACATTGTCTTATTACAGTCCTTACATAAAGTTGCCAATATGTCCTGTCTCTTTATGTATGTGTGTGCCATCAAGTCACAACCAACTTACAGCCACCCCAGCCAGAGGCTTTCAAAGCAAGTGAGAAGCAGAGGTGGTTTGCCACTGCTGTCCTCTGCAGAATCTTCCTTGGTGGTCCCCCATCCAAGTATTGACCCTGCTTAAATTCTAAGATCTGACAAGATCAGGCTATACCATACCATTTCACCACCGACCCCCATCACTTTAATAGAGGCTTACTAATAGTGGAAACAGAAAGCTGAACCTTTTCACGGTATAGAGGCAAATACATTCCATTACATTCCATTAAGCCCCTGTTACAGAGACAGGACATTTTTTCTCCTGGCCTTTTGGCAACCATGCCCTTAACAATACCTTGTAAAGTAGGTGAGTTTCATTATCCCCATACTGGAAATGAGGAGCTGAGAATGAGAGAGTGTGGTTTGCCTAAAATCACTTATTCAGTTAATGCAGGGGTCATTTCGTAGAAAAATTATTTGCATATGCCACACACCCTGACATCACCAGAAGTTTGTCAGAAGGCAACACCCACTGCAACTTACCTGGCTGCTCCTTGCTCCTTGTGGCCCGGGGCTGTTGGGAGCAGGGGGCGGGGCTTGTTGCATGTGCTCACCCCCTGGGCTCTTTACTGCCGGAGCTCCGTTCCTGTGCGCTCCTGCAGGAAATGACCCCTGAGTTAATGGCAGAAATGTGATTTGAACCGAGGACTTTCCAATTCATTCTTTAGTTTCTTAGCCACTGTGCTAAACTTGTTTTATTAGTTTTATCAAAATAAATGGAAATGTGACTTTACATCCGTAACCTTCCATTATGGGGCCATAGAACCTGAGGCAGAACCAGAGGTCATTTTGGGGGGGAACGCGGGGGATCGCAGTTCCCCCGGGTGAGGTACGGGGGCGGGGCACATGACGAAGCCCCGCCCCTGCTTCCGGCCACCCCACTTCCGGTCCTCCTTCAGCGAGGAGGAGGCAGGAGAAGAGAGAGGGTAAGTTGCTTCCTCCCTGCCTCTCCCCACCCCTGCCTGCCTGGGGCCAGGGAGGGCCTTCATGGGGCTTCCTTGCACTCCCACCAGCCTTGCAGGTCCACCGCCGGGCCCCTCATGGGGCTCGGCAGTGGAGCTGCAAGGCCGCCAGTGGCGGTCGGGACCGTTGGGGGCGAGGTGTGTGGCCTTATGACACACTTCTGGTGATGTCAGGGGGTGTGGCCTTATGACACACTTCCAGTGATGTCAGGGGATGTGGCATATGCTAATGAGTTATGCTAATGAGTTCCCCTAGCTCTTTTTCTACGAAACGACCCCTGGGCAGAACACACACTTTGCATGCACAGTGCATGCATACTACCTCTTGAAATTACAGTTAAAAGGCTGTCATGTAGCAGGGCTGGGAACATCTAAGATTCTGGAGAGAACTGTTGCTTGATGGAGTAGACAATACTGGATTGCAGATGGTATAGGTCAGTTTCGTAACACATCTATCGCCACAATTGTTATGATGCTTACCATCATTAAGCCTTTTAAAAAGGTATTAGATAAGAGCCTGGAAAGTAAGTCTGTTTGCTGAGATGAAAAGCAACAGCTAGAAGTGAAATCTCCACGTTAAAAGGTGAATGCCTGAAACTCCTGTGCGCTGAAGACAAGGAACATTATAGCATCAGCCTGTTCTGCTTGTGAATTTCCCCCAGGCATCTGGTAGCTCTGTGACAGAAAAAGTAATGCTTTGTTTGATGGAGTAGCTTAGCACAGCTATTCATTTATTTGTTTTCTGTATGCATTTTAAACCTTAAACATATAATGCTTTTTAGTGTTCAAAAGCAAGAAATTGCAAGTAGATAAATACCCTGTTTCCCCAAAAAGACCTACCCCAAAAATAAGCCCTAGCAGGATTTCTATGCATTTGTGGTATAAGCCCTAGTGTGTCTTCTTGAGAAAAAATAATATAAGACAGTGTCTTATTTTCAGGGAAACACGGTAGGTACTGCTTCAGTGGGAAGGTAACAGCGTTCCGTGAGCCTTGGTATTTAGTCATGCTGGCCACATGACCATGGAAACGTCTTCGGGCAGCGCAGGCTCTTCGGCTTTGAAACGGAGAGGAGCACTGCAACCCTAGAGTCGGACTCGACTGACTTTTGAGCAAGGGAACCTTTACCTTTTACTTTAGTGCTGAGAATCAATTTTTATATAGCTCCCAATGATTAGGCTGGGATGTGCTCCTTCAGATGATTGGGCTCTTGGGGAAGAAAATGGTACCTGCAGCCTTTTCTTGGGGCTCTTCACAAGGACTGAGATTTGTACTACTTATCCAGGAGTACAGGAGGCTGGCATCAGGAATATTCCTACACTCACACACACACGAATGCAAAAACCCCACTACTTTAACAGAGAGTAATGTCAATACCATGGGGAAGCCCTCTGCTGTGACCTGATAACACCTAGATTTGATCTTGTTATTGATTATGATACAGGCCCTACCTCTGATGTTTCTGTGACTTTCTTCACTAATAAATATCTCTCATTCACTACAACTTGGATGCCAAATTGAACATGGGCCCAGTTCCTGAGGTGTTAGAAGAGCCTAACTTGCAAATTTTATACAGATGGATTCAGATTGATATTGTTGATGGATGTTGACAGGATTCTTGTTGTTAGGCTACCTTATCCTTATTAGATCTTTGCCCTTTCTGGCTAATAAAATTATTTTGGAATTAAACAATGGGACTCCTAATGAGAATTGTAAATTCCTCATTGGAGAGAGCAGATTTTCCCAAAGCCTCTGAAGGATCTCTCACAGTGGAAGCAGGATATTTGGAGGGGGAGGGGAATCTCTTAAAGATTGGAAGACTCACCAGCATGCCTCAGCCCTCCTTCTCTTCTGCCCTTCCTGATTAACCCCTGGATGGAAGGGGTATGGTAATCCACTGCCACCACTCTGATTTGGGGTTCCTTCATTTCAGGAGAACCAGAGCACCTTCTTTTTCTTTATTTATTTGGCAGCCTCTCTTATATCACAAGGAACCCCAAACCAGGATAGTGGTGGTGACATCAAGTACCACGGAAGAGTTTCAAAACCTTTATTCAAAATAGAAAAAGCAGATAGAAAAGCTGCTAAATGGTTTAAAGGTGTCCAGCCAAGGAAAAGCAACAGAAACGTCTGTGATGTGAGTTAACTGAACTTATTCCCTAACCTATTGACTTGCTTTCTCGGATTCAGTTGATAGAGCCCAAAAATTACATTACCAGCAGCCATCCCACAGAATGATTACAGAGAATGCACACATGAGCTCTCTCAGTGGAAAGTTTCATTGGTTTTCCAATCTCTTGCCCCTTGTGCAAAATTGGGGTGCCATTCATACGGGCAAGAAACCAGCCCTGAAACTTGAATTTTACCTGGGAGACAGGAAGAAAAGGATTAACACCTCAGAGAGAGAGAGAGAGAGAGAGAGAATCTCTGAACACATGCCTATCTGGATTTGGCTCAGATGCCCAAGAAAAGGTTCTGAGTGTCTGGGAAGGTCATTCCATGAAGGAAATAGTGCAGGAGCCCAAAAAAGTCAGCAAAAGGTAAGGTAGTTCATAATGAATCCCTTACATCCACGCTCACAGTCACTGACACCTTTGCTTTAAAAGCCTTCAAGGGTTGAAGATGATGTGATCACTCCGCCACATCTGGCAAGTGGAGCGCACCCACGGCCAACCCGTGGCTTCCCAGGGAAAACCCGGAGCTAAAAACTAACTGCTTTCATGTACTGTCTTCCGGTAAATGCGCAGCACGGGCAGGCATCTGATCAGAGACGCACTGGTAGCCAGTCGCATCCAGCAGCCGTCCACGCGGTCCTGCTGTTTTTCTGCTGTGTTGCCTCGCTGGTCTGATCAGCTGCTGATGGCCGGAGGACGGAGCTGCAGGAGAACGTGAGATCGCGCTACCGTGCTTCTTTTTTCTTCGCAGCTAAAAGCCTCCGTTCCCCTGTGGATTATCCAGCCTGTGTGACCGGGGCCTTTGTTTCCTGTAGAGAAAAAATACCATGGCTGTGGTCACACAGAGCATTAGGCACACTAGAGAGACGGAAGATAGGCGGATTTTCCAGGAGCGATCTCACCGCCACATCTGGGAAGCGTAGAGCTCCCGTGGCGAACCCGAGGCTTCCCGCCGAAGATGCGCGGTTA